TCCTATTTTGTCCTATTCCTATTTAGATGAGCAGGTTTCTTCCTATTTTGTCCTATTCCTATTTAGATGAGCAGGTTTTCTCCTATTTTGTCCTATTCCTATTTAGATGAGCAGGTTTTCTCCTATTTTGTCCTATTCCCATTAGGATGCTTAGGTTCTCTCCCATTTCAGTTCCAGTCCTTGTGTTACAACCTCCCCTTCAGCCAAATAACCCACAGTTCCTTGTGTGGAGCGCTCTGCCCGTGGGCTGAACAAAGCCAGGGAAGTTTCTTCCAGCGTTTCTTTGCAGTGGRAGACACATTTTTGGTGTTTTCTCAACTGTCTTCCGTGTGGTGGCAGAACTCCAAGTGCTGAGTAATATTTAAGAGCTCATCTATTTCGGGCGGGAGACAAAGATGTGAGACATGCCAAAGCACCATGGATACCAGATCAGCACATTCCCGTGTCTGGATGGGAATATTCCCATATTCCCATGGCCAGGCTGCTGCAGGGTCAGGATTTATGGCTTTTCTCTGATGTTTCAGTGCAGCACTGCCTGGCATTCAAAGGCCATGAAGTCATTGTAATGTGTGTTCCTCAAGCCGTGGGCACAGACTCTGCTGCCAGTCCATYATGGTGACCCAGGGATGGATCCCTGGAATCTCTTCAGGCCGTAGAAGTCCCCGTGGTGAGGCAGGGCTGAGCTCATCTAGTGTTGGCTAGGTGGAATTTGGGAGGTTCATTCAGCTTGGAATTCAGGGCAGAGGCACCTGGGGGACAGCAGCACCTCTGAGGAGTTCATGGGGGGCACAGGGCACCTCTGCCCCCTCCAGCCAGAGGAGGGGATGGATCCCACCTGCCTGTGCCTTGGGAGGTGCTGGGAGGGCTCAGGGCTCCAGGGACACAYGTGGGAGGCAGGAGCCAGCTCTGTGCACCAACCTGATTGAAAACCCAGCTTCTTCAACCCATCCCGAGCATCCTGGCACTGCCAGGGGTCCCCGCTGGCACCAGCCTGGCCTGGGCTGTGCTCACTCAGCCAGGCTGGAGGGATTCACACCCTGCACCCCAGTGAGGGAACAGGGCTGGAAGGGCAGCACATTGCCTACCCCACATCATACTGCTGAGCTTTCAGGTAAAATCGTGATTTTTTTTTTTTTTTTTAATTTTATTTTTTGGTTGTTTGGATTTTTTTTCTACTCTCAGTCTCAGAACTTGAATTGAGGTCCTTGAGCTTCAGCAGTCTGGGACAGCAGCAGGAGTTCTGTAGAGCAGATAATAATCTCTGTTCATCACTGAATAGGTTCTTTGTTTTCCTGGTAACTCTGCAAGAGTGTGAAAAATAGAGAGGTTATGTTCTGGAAAAATCATAATTTCCCAGTTGAACTCAGTGCAAGGGGTTGGGAACAGTGAGGCAGGAAGAATAGAAGGGTTTAGAGTCTTCTAAACCTTACAGGGTCATCCTATAGGGAAAACCAGAGCTGTTCCTACAGTGTTAGGTGCTTGCAAGCTCATGCCACATCCTTGAGGAGCTGCAGAGGAGCTGCAGGGCTCCGTGGGAAACTCAGCAAGAGTCCAATGTCCCCAGAGCCTGCCCAACAACACCTCCAGAAATGGAACCTCTCACTCTCYGTGTCTCACTCCTGGCTCAGGGCTGTGCTCTGACTCAGGCAGGATCTTTTCTTCGAGAATCCCACAAAATCTGCTCCCAGGGTGTTCTCCYGCAGCGTCAGTGGGCAGGAGGGAGAGGAGAGGCTGAGACTCTGTGTGGGGCAGGGGCTGCGGCTGAGAATCACCTCAGCATGGGCAGGGTGCAAAGATGCTGGGCACAGCAGGGCAGGGCAGAGCTGAGCTGAGAAGGGCAAGCAGGGCTGAGCAGAGAGGAGCAGAGCAGAGAAGAGCAGGGCTGAGCAGAGCAAAGCAGAGAAGAGAAGAGCAGAGCAGAGTTGAGCTGAGCAGAGCAGAGCAGGCAGCCTGGGCCCGAGCAGGGGAAGCTTCCCAGAGTATAATCTGTCTCGTGATTCTTGGCGCAGGGATGGCAGATTCGCAGTCCAAATGTGGGATTTGCCTGCTGGGCCTCTGCTCTCCCTCCTCCTGCACCTCGTGCACAGGCACATGGCTCAGGGCACCGCTCTGGGGCACAGCCCTGCAGGAGAGGGCTGCTTTGTGCCTGGGTTTGTGCCTGGGTTTGTGCCTGGGTTTGTGCCTGCTGCATGGCACGGGGTGTTTGTCTTTTAGCAGGACCTCCCACCCAGTGAGGTACCCAACATCTCCTGGTGAGCATCCCCCTCCCTGGTTTGTGTGTGTTCAAAAGGACAAAAGTGTTCCTGATCTCATCCCACCTTAGAAAATGATCATTTTCCTTCGGGATCAGGGCAGAGAGACAATACATCCCCAGAGTCAGAACAGTGGAAGGAGCTGCCCTGTGGGCCAGCGTCTGGAAGCTGCAGGAGTTTGTAAGAGGACAGGAGATGCAGTCAGGTTGGAAGGGACAGTGACCAGTGCGAGGGGGCAGCTGAGCCTCGTGGCTTCTCCTCCTGCTTGCTTGTCAGTGGCTCTGAAATGCTGGGGAAACAGCTCAGCCCTGACCTGGGGTCTTGGCCAAGCCCTGCAGCCTCCTGGAGAGGCAGATCCCATGGGCAGCACTGGGACACGGGGTCTGGGGGGCCAAAGGGTCACTCGGGCAAAGCTGAGGATGAAGCACCAGCTCTGGGCTTGGACAGCAGCACTGCTCCTCCAAAGGAGCCAGGGAAAGGCAAAGACAGCTCCACATCCCACATGGCAATCTGATCTGTGCTGCTTCCATGTCCCCAGCTGGGCTGGTGGCAGCTCCAGTCTCATCCTTCAGCCCTCATCCCCTGGGAGCTCCAGAGCTTTCCCAGCTCAGGGCTCCCTCTGGACACTCTGGACCATTCCCAGAGCTCAGGGCTCCCTCTGAACACTCTGGACCATTCCCACAGCTCAGGGCTCCCTCTGGACAGTCTGGACCATTCCCAGCCCCACAGCTCAGGGCTCCCTCTGGACACTTCAGACCATTCCCAGCCCCACAGCTCAGGGCTCCCTCTGGACACTCCAGACCATTCCCAGCCCCACAGTTCAGGGCTCCCTCTGGACACTCCAGACCATTCCCAGCCCCACAGCTCACGGCTCCCTCTGGACACTCCAGACCATTCCCAGCCCCAGGGCTCAGGGCTCCCTCTGGCAGCGCTGCCTTCGCTGTGTGTGCAGAGGGGAAGCCCAGAGCGAGTGGCTGGGCTGGGGCAGGGTTTATGACTCCAGAACAGCTCGTCACCAGCGGCAGGGCTGGGGACATCCTGTGCCAGCACCAGGTGCCGGTCATTTCCTGGCTGAGCTGTCTCCATCTCCCCACCCGTTGTGTTTTCTCTCTCACCTGCACACCCTTCACCGGTTTCCTGCGGGCTGAGCAGCGYCTCTGACAGGCTCTGTATTTCAGCAATGACAGGTCTGTGTGCAAACTGCTCTCGCTGCAGAGCTGGGCTGATTTCCCACCCTGAGCTGCTGCAGGCTGTGTGCTCCCATGGGGGCTGCCATGTCCTGCACACGCAGTGCCCCCCTGACACAGCACAGCTGCTTTGGGGCCCCCAAACCCAGCCCCTCTCACAACCATCAGCTCAGGACCAGCGGTGCTGCCGCTCCACTGGCACRTAAATATGATTCAGAGATGAATGGGAGGAAAGAGATTTGTTAATTTGCTCCTCATTAGCACTTTGAGAGCTCTGATTCCTCCCTCCAACACTGCCCTGGTCCCCTGCTGTCAAGGCCGGTTCCCCGCTGCTTGGCTTGCAGCTCTGTGTTCCAGTTTCTTTCCCAAAGTGCTGCTTCATACCCTTGATTTGTTATTTTGGGGTCTTATATCACATCTGTCACAACTTCCCGGGCCYGGTGCAGCTACAAAACGCGCCGTGAATCAGCTCCAAGCCGGAATTTACTGCCTGCCCCCATCATTAGTAATCCACACTTGCAGCAGCCTCATTAATACAGGCACAGGCAGAACTTGGAGGATCATTTTTTTTCCTACCCGCACCTGTAACTTGCCGTGAGTAGATCTGCACAAATCGAGGGTTAGGGGTGTGTGTGTGTGCTGGGTTTTCCTGCTCATTAAACACTTGTTAGACACCCCACCAGTGGTGAGCAGCACAGCCCGAGCCCGCTGCATCCCAATGAAGCACTTTGTGTTTATCCCGGRTGACATCGGGCCATTTCCACGGCGTCTGGCGGCGGCTGCGCTGCCGATCGCCCGCATTCTGATTCCAGATTAATTCCCACTCTTGCATATTCCGACCCTTAATTGTATTGACTGGGAAATGGGATCGTTGGGATGTGGAGGGGCCCTCGGAGCTCTGCGGAAAGATTCCATTACGCAATAGGACATTTCAAGCCGCCCTRAATTATTTAACCGGCCGCAGACGTGGCCAGTCCATTTCTCAGCAGAGTCTGGACAGCTCTGGTTTTTATAGCCCTCGGAACAGCCGGGTGGGAGGAGAGGGGAGGGCGTGGAAAACGTTCCAATGGCTGCAGCTGCTGYGGGCAAGGGGTGGGGGGGACCCCAGCAAAGCCCTCTCAGTCCTCAGTACCCTCTGCAATGGGCACTGGAATAACAGGGGAAGGGTTCGTGTCCTGCTGATGCCTTATGGGGATCACCTAAAACAGATGCTGGACAGAATTCAGAGAATCCAAAGCAGTTCTGTTCATGGCAGGGCCTTCAGGGCCATTCAGGGCAGTCCCAGCCCAGCCAGGGGCTGCACCCACAATGGACAATGGCTCACGGCTTTTTCACCCTTTCTCACTTTTGTCCATTTGCACATCAGGGCTGAATCCTCCAATTGCAGCTGCAGCCAATGCAGTCAAAAACTCCAACTTGGCTCCCCCAATTCTCTCTTGTTTCTATCTCTTGGGGCCTGGCACAGGGAGATGTCCTTGAGTTTGGGGCTGCAGAGGAATTGTTTTGTGTAAAAATGGGAGAGCAGGAGCTCAGCACTGTCTGTGGAGTCTGGAGTTAAACACTGAAGGATTCCAGGGTTCCAGAGACATGGAAATGGAGAAGCTGAAATCCTAAGGGATCACTTCTGCCTCCAGACTGGGCAGGGACCTGCAGAAAGCGTTTGGGAATGTGCCTTTCYGAGCCAGCACATCCCACAGTGCCAGCAACAAGCACAAGGCCTGGCAGTGGGATCTGAGAGCTTCTCTKAAGCTTCTTGTCCCCTGGAACATCAGGAAATGGCCACAGGCTGGGCAGGAACCCCATGGGTCACTGCTGACCCCAGAGATCTGGGGGAATCCTTGGGCAGGGAGCACAGGGATCATGGCTGAACCAGGAGATCCAGGAGATTTGGGGGGCAGGGAGCCATGGCTGCTCCAAAGGCAGCTGTGGAATGGAAAGGTGAAGGGAACCCTTCCCATGTCAGCCTGGCTGGGGCAGGGCAGGGGACACTCTTTGTCACTTGGAGACCTCATTGCTCACCCATCYGTTGATTTTGGCATTTTTAACCTGRCCTGACCAAAGGGGCTTCCTGGGGGACACAGACAGGGCTGGCATTGTCTCTCTTTGAGATGGTGAAAGCCAGAATCCTGTGTTTGGGCAGGGAAAGGCCTCCTGGGCCAGGTTTAGCTGGCTGTTTGGCAGCTGGGAGTTTGTGAGGGGTCTCTGTGACAAACCCAGYGTTTGGGACTGCCCTGCCCCTCTGCAGTGCTGAGGACCTGCTGTCTCCATGCTGAGGYAAATCCCAGCAGTCACCACTCCTCTGATCCTCCACCTGCAGCCATCGCTGCTGCCCAGCCCCACCAACTGCACCCAGCCCTCTGCTGAGTTCCAGGGATGGCTTTCAACAATCCACAACTCCAGGATGGATCCCTGCTCTTGCTGCTGGGCGTGAATAGGATAACAAACCAAACTGAGAGAAGAAAGCAGCCCTGCCTGTTATTGGCTGCCCTTTCACAGAGAGGCTGTCAGCTCTCGGGATGTTTTGGCAGATACCTTTGAAAGCTGAGCTGAGAGCCGGGGAAGAGCTGGCAGGTACAGCCCAGCTGTCTGTGAAACTGCAGCTGCAGCTGCTTGCCACCAGCTCCWCTTTGAAGAACGTGCTTTTCTCTATTTATGATCAAGAAGTGTTGTATGAAAAGCCCTTATGATTTCTTGCCATGGTGTCACTGAGTGTCTCAGGCTGCTTCTCTCTCCAAACAGGGAATTTAACCTCAATGAAGGCTCACCCCAGAGCGGGATTGATGTGCCTTTGGCAGGGCTGCATTCCCTCTTAATTCTGCTTGTCAGTTGTAAATCAGAAATTCAAATATTATGAGAAGAAST